ATAACTACTTAATAGAATCTTCTAAAAACTTTAGAATAGAGCTACATCTATACTAATAAAACTATTTAAAAGTCTTAGACTAATAGCTAGTATAGATGTTGAGATAGCCTGCAGCTACCCCTGTATTTCAGTATCTTCTAAACAACATCTGCAATATAGGGCTAAGCACTCTAAGACTTTCAAACAGTCTTATTAGTATAGATGCAGCTCTATTCTGAAGTTTTTAGAAGATTCCATTAAGTAACGTATTCCACCACCCAACAGCTCAAACCACCCAACAGCTCAAAATGTCTTGGCACAACCAACACTAGTTACAAATTTCCATTTTCATCGCTATTATACAAGGAGCCTGTGTACGCTGTACTAACCTCTAATTTAGAAGTCTCCTCTACATCCTTTTTACACGTTCGCGCGTTATGCCTAGTCTTGCCACAGTTCCTACAGCGCTGTAAAGCTAGTTGGGCTCTCTCTTGATCACCACCACGACGAGCCTTCTTCGACCGCTCAGCGGCTATAGAGGCCTCTGCGGCCACCTGGGCTGCTGCCTCACCATACTCCATTGTGCCGCCATGCTGGATCCGCTTCCTTTTGCGCGATTTCCTTTTGGTCATCACTGCTAATTGCTCTTCAAGCTCAGTAATCCGGGCTGCTTGAAGCGCGTTCTGATGCAGCATAAGCTCGCCGCCTCTAATAAGCTGAGAGAAGCCTGCCTGCGTAGTAATAGGAGAACAAGTAAAGGACTCGCGTACAAGCTTTAATTGCAATCTAAACTTATGTATATTGCTTAGAGTCTTTGACTGCCACAGCGTCTCTAGGAGGAGGGGTTCTAGCAGGGTACGCAGCCGCACTTTAAGGCGATCTAATACAACCTGCGCGTTAAGAGGGACAAGTCCTAATGCCTTAAAGGCCTTGCAACAGATTGCCTCTGTAAACATGTTGCAAAACACGTCTTTAAAGGCTAGTAGGAAGCCTTCTTTGTTAATATAGAAGACGCGCTTACGTGCCAAGTCTTGTACGCGCTAAGAGTACTTGCGCTTTAATAGTAAGAAGCAGACCACATTAAGCAGCTAGAGGATGTGCAACAAGTAAGGTGGCATGCAGAGGGTAAGGATCTTATGTTTAAGGCAGTAGTCCTTGAAATCCTAGTTAAGGTGGCTCTTATGGCTGTCCAAAATGAGCAGCCTGTACGCCCCTACCTAGCCCGCCTTTGTATGCGCGTTAAAGTGCTTCAACCACTCTAGACTAAGCGCATTGTTTGTCCAGCCGTTCTAAGAGACTGAGAGCTTCTAATTGCGCAGTATATCTGCCTCCTTGTACTAGGCAGAGATGTGAACGCGTCCTTTGTAGATAATAAAAGGTAGGGTACAAGATCTAGCAGCGCAGACGCTCTAGATAACTGTTACCCACTCGCGATTACCTAGCTGAACGAGCTTAGGCTGAGTACGCCTCTCTGCGCCTGTAACAACCTTTATTAAGCTAATAACACCTATCTAGAAGCTAGTCTTGTTAAAGTTGTGCACGTTGTAGTTGTGTACGCTGTACTTGGCTCTAGTGTCCTCTACCAGCTTAAACCACGCGCCAATTGTCTCTAGATCCTCCTGCAGTATCCTCTGCCTATCTTTAGCTCGATTGAAGGCCATCTTAAGCTCAGCTGAGCGCGTTACAAAGCGCTCAGCCCAGTGCTTGCCAACCAGCTGCCCACCGCGTACACCCAACACTTTATCAGCCATATCTACTACCTCGCATGTAACGACGCAGGCAAGAAGAGAGATATCCGGAATAGGTGTGAATCCGCTACGAGGCATATGGGAGTGCTGGGATAGGCAAGGGGTGGAGGTAACCTTGGAGTCGGGTCTGCTTCGGATGTCCTCTTCGGCACGGAATGCAGTTACGAACATAACGTTGACATGAAGTTTCCATACCTTTCCAGTGATATTTCTCAGACAATAACTGATAAGTCTTCTTTGCACTTGGATGCGCAGATGATACTTGGTCGTGGACCTCCCGAATCAACCGTGTACAGAGGGTAGAGTCTGCCTGAACGCAGAGACGATCCTTGTAGAGCAATAGTCCATTGCTGACGCGATACTGGTTGGGCAAACTTTCGCGTTCCAGACCGAAACCGGTCCG